ATGACGAAATGCAATGTAACAGTTAACATGTCACACGTGATGTACGTCCACGTCATCATCATCTATACACTCATCAACATTTCGTAAAACAATCATCAGCAATAACTTTGGTTAAAATAACATCATAAATACGAATAAACAGCATGGACGTGAGCTCAAAAGATCTGCAGTTTGTAACAAAAGGGGAAAATTTCGGTTTAAAATGGTTAAAATTCGTGACTCGGTGGTTGTATTGGCCTCTTGACTGATCATTCCATCTCTCTTGTTATCACCAATCGAGAAGTGTAATAGTTCTGGCATGTGAAAGGCGGTGACCTGTGATGGTTGGGCATTCCACATCCATGGGTCGTCTAGAAACATATTGTTCCATATAGGAAATCGACGCAGAACTGTATTCAGCGTTAAATGGTAATTAAATTGTGGGATGGAAGAGTCAATACTCCTTGTCAGAGGGGCATGTCCTTTAAGGCAAAAAGGTAATAATCGTTTCATACGATGCACCCCAATTCAAACTTGTTTACAGTTGAACTGAAGGGGACACCTGGTTTATAAGCTTTAAAGAGCAACTCAGAAGAAAACACGTTTTCTCTGATTTTATCTGTTCAAACAAATATGGAAGCATCGAAATCAAACGTAGTGTCATTTGTCTTCAGAGCTCAACTATAACAGGTTTAAAAGTTTACTCCGTCTGTTCATCCCAAGATACGAATTCTAAACATGCTGAATGTAGATTGCGTCATTCTGACAAAACAGAAAACGAGGGAAACCCTCGCCCTGTGTTCGTAGTGGATAAACCCTTGTGCGTGCCAAACAATGGCTACAAACAATGGCTACATGCGCTGTTGAGTGTTCTCTCGTTTTCTCTGTTTTCTCAGAATGACGCAATCTGCATTCAACATGAATTCGCATCTTGGCATGAACAGAAAAAAGCCCTGTTTAAGTTTGTTATAGTTGAGCTCTGAAGACAAATAACACTGTGTTCAATTGGGATGCTTCCACGCTTATTTGAAAAGATAAAATCAGAGAACACATGTTTTCCTTTGAGTTGCTTTTCCAATAATCTCTCGACACACACATCTTTTAACTGTATGTGTTTCAATTGTAGGTGTTTTCGCTGCCTCTGGCCAATTGTGGGTGGAGCTGCGGAGGTTCTCCTTGACTGCCTTGAGAGGACTGGGCGTGGGGAAGTCAAACTTTGAAGAGAACATATCTACGGAGGCAAAACACCTCACCGATTGGCTGATGGAGGACAAGGGGGCTCCAATCGACCCCACGCACCCACTCGGTAACGCACTGTCCAACGTCGTCTGTACCGTGGTCTTCGGCAAGAGATTCGAGTACAGCGATGCCGCGTTCAAGAAGCTCCTAAAGTACACGGCAAACCTCATGCACCACGGGGGAGCGGGTTTCTTCGTGGAGGCCATGCCCGCGGTACTCACTAAGCTCCAACCTTTTGCCTTCATAAGGTTCTACGTCCAGGCCGTCGACAACTTCTTTAACCACTTTGGGCTCTTGATCAAAGAGCACCAGGAGGCGTACGATCCGGTGCAGCCCAGAGACTTCATCGACGAGTTTCTCAAAGCTTGTGAGGCGAAAGAGAAGCAAGGGTTGGCGGCTGTGGGGCTCCGGCCTATCAACCTACTCCGCTCGGTGGCGGACCTGTTCATTGGCGGCACCGAGACCTCGGCTACCACCTTGCGATGGGGTTTGCTTTACATGATGGGCTACCCCGAGATACAGTCTCGCATCCAGCAGGAGTTGGATGCAGTGACCGGCCGCAATCGACTGCCGGCCCTGTCAGACAAGGCCAATCTGCCCTACACCGAGGCGACTATCTGCGAGATTCAGCGAATAACCACCATCCTACCGCTGTCGGCGCCTCATTACTGCGCAGAGAATACCACGGTCCATGGGTAATGTACATGTATACAGACTTATCCATTTGTATGTACACAGATTGCGGAAATAATTGTGTGAAAGATCTGCACAAACAAACTGACTGTTAACTGTTTCTCCCTATTAACAGTACGTCCACCATTTTGTCGACTGAATACTGTGTGCCGTCCCACTATGAGTTGGATAAAAAATTTAAGGAAGCCCATTATGGGGCCCATCTGATTCGCCCTTGATCTCAATCTTATGTTGAAATTGACTGTTCTCTTCAGGTATGACATTCCCAAAGGTTCGTATGTCATGGCCAATCTCTGGCATAGCCATTTCGACCCGTCTGTCTGGGACGATCCGAGGGAGTTCCGCCCTGAGCGATTTCTCGACACTGACGGCAAGCTCCGTCTCCGGGAAGAATTCATCCCGTTCGGAAATGGTCAGTGCACAGCCATAGCAAATATATAGGCACAATATTTCCTATCCTTGAAGAGTGGAGAAACTAGCGGTGGAAATTTGATTCTTTCTAACCCAAATGGACTTCGAGCCAGGATTTTTAAAATGACACTTTCGTTGTGTGAGGTCCCGCGGTTCGTCTATTTTTGATACGCAACCATTAACGTCGCTTTTAACCTTTGGTTATTGTTTCTTCCGCAGGCCGCCGAGTGTGTCTTGGGGAGAACCTCGCTAAAATGGAGCTCTTCATCTTCTTCAGCCACCTTCTGCATCACTTTACCTTTAAGAAGCCCTCAAATTCTCCTCCTTTGTCATTCAGGGGCGTTCTGGGAGTGACCTGGGCACCTATGCCCTATACCTTGTGCGCTGTCCCACGGGAATAAACCGGGAGAATTAGTCTTCATTGAAGTTGCTGCTTCTTTCACTGCAAGCATTTCTTCTTAGTCTCAGTCTCGTGCAGTTGCAAAATAAGTTTTAGTTTTGTTGAACTGTTCCAGCAACAAACAATAATACATGTAACAACAACCAGCATTTAAAACGCTCTTCTTAGTTACTAAATCACAGCGCTTACAAGAAATACACAATCGAATTGTTACACGAACTTAAGCAATGCACTAATAAAGTTGACATAATAGCCTAATATCATTATCGTTATTCGTGGAACGGGTAGGTTTGATTATGCCTGATGAATTTTCTTATTTTTGAAATATTGCGAAGGTGAAACAGGACATTGAATAATTTAGGACTGTGAGATGACATCAACCTATTACAATTGACATATACACCACGATCCTTGTCAAATACTGATAGTTTGACAGTTGCATGACCTACTTTAAGTAATTTCTGGAAGTCTGTTACGATTAGAAGGTGAATCTATTACGAGAAAATCAGTTTCGTCTTCGTTCACTTTTAGGTTGTCACAATTCATCAAAGATTTGGTATGGAAAAAAAAAGGCCAGGCATCTACTCAAAGTTTCAAGGGCGCGGATTAATAATTATTGAAGATTTGGAATCAAACAAAATATACAGTTGAATGTCATCAGCATAAAATGATATGACACACCATGATAACGGGCTGCATGTATCTCAAACAGGAAGTGCATATATAGAATAAAAATTGACCCCAAAACAGACCCCTGTGGTAGTGCCAAACTAACTTGGATAAGCTAAACTTCTTGGCCTCAACTTCAGCTGATTGATGGAGATCCATCAGTTTGTTTGCTGACATATGGGCTATTAGCAGAGATCTTATTGCGCCGAACTCTGCCAAAAAGGAGTAATTATCATGGGCGCCATTCGAGCAAGCGATACGTCTGCGCAGTGGACGTCAATGCTCAGGCGCGCGCGCGTACCAAGTGCGCTTGCCTGGCGTGGCGCCCGTGCATTAACGTCCATGCACTGCGCAGGTGCATCGCTTGCTCGAATGGCGATCAGGCGATTACAACTATTGATCTCCATTACGAAGAGAGATCAATCCAGTTCGTAAGTGACTTCGTCACAAAGCTCCCATTGGTGAATCGCTAAAGTTGCGCGTTAACTTCCAGTTCCATGTTTCCATGTAAACGGCGATTAATGCATGTAACTCTATGGGCAGTGCATGTGCAGTGAGTGTGGTTTAAACAGGAGTGACGTCACACATACGAACCGGATAATGCTAGTACTCATGGAGATCAGTGATTTTACGCGTTTTACGCATAATTTACGGTGAAGTTCTCCTCCTTCCACTGCTACGCTATCTTTGGCTGTTAGTTTCGAGTAGACAGTTGTCTCAATAATCTTTCCCAGAAATTACAGGTTAGAAACTGGGCTGTAATTGCTGAGGGTGTACTTGTAAAAGATGGTTTTACCAAGAATGGTTTGATAATGGCCTCGCGAGCTTCTTTGGGAATTTAAGGTCAGAACTGGGAGGATTGGTGTGATGTTTCCTTAAAAGTCATGTTGTTAAGGGTGTGGATCAAGATTACATGATTTTTGGGAAAGCCCTGGGTAACCTGTAAACTCATTTCCATCTGCTAAACTTAAGTAAGGCAATGGCTCAAAATGAATATAGTTTGTGGCTCTGCACACAAGCACTTTT